GGATGCAGTGCAGTCTGTCGTTGACTGGGCAGATAGTGTTGGGTTTGTGATTTCCCCAGAAATGTCCAAACTGTTGCACAGCTGCTTTGGTCATCATCACAGACCGAGTCTGCGATTTGTTAGTATCGGTGAGCATGCGGCCAAGGCCGTGCGAGAGACGATACTGCTTGGTGTGACTATTGATAACAAACTCCGATTTGTTAAGCACGCCAAGTTGGTGAAGGATAACGTCAACAACAAGTTGAATATCCTTCGGACCGTAAATGGTCGCTTCTCTGAAGCCTCTCGTAGTACATTGACCAAGGTTGCTAGGGCTCTGGTTGTCCCTAGGATCCTTTACGGGGCGGAACTGTGGAGCAGGGGTGGTGTCTCCCTGATCAAGATTCTGGAACCTAAGTACAATGAGGCGTACAGAATTTGTAGCGGAGCGCTGAGGTCTTCACCGATAGCTTCTCTGTTGGTGGTTATTAGAAAGGAATCCCATTCTCAATGACAGGCCCACGGTTGCAAGGGCGAGAGAATGCTGGAGCGACTTGACGGGAGTAGATTTTCCCACGTTAGCCCAGCGAACTAGGCTGTGGCAACGGGCATGGGATGCTACTGCCCCAAAATTTGATTGGAGGGTTAAAGCTATGTGCGGGGCGCGGGCCAGCTATGATGTGGCGAAAGCTGCATTTAGAGAGGTCGCTGCCTCATACGAGGGAAGGCCCATGCTATTTACGGACGGTTCATTAATCGAAGAGGAAGTTGGTTATGGTGTGTCTGGGGAGGACATAAGCCGCTGCGGCCGGTTACCCAGTCTCTGTGGTATCTTCTCAGCTAAGGCCTATGCTCTCCTGCAAGCTTGTAGGCTAGCAAATGGGTCTCGGGCCGTTGTATTCTCTGACTCTGCGAGTTGTCTCTCTGCCCTTGAGCATGGGCAGGTCGGACACCCGTGGCTGTTGGAGGTGCAGCGGTACGCTAACATAACCTTTGTATGGGTACCTGGACACGCAGGTATACCAGGGAATGAGGCTGCTGATAAACTAGCTAACCAAGGTCGTCTTGCTCAGCTAGAGGCCACTCCGGTGCCCTATAGTGACGCTACCCGCTTGGTGAAGCAGACCTCGCGATACGCATGGAATGTGTGTTGGCATAACAACCGTCATGCATTCCTGCGTAGAATCAAGAATACTACACAAGAGTGGAAGGATGCACCTAATTCTCGAGATCAGAAAGTTCTGACTCGGCTGAGGATTGGTCATGCACGGCTCACTCATGGACCTCGTTTAAGCGGCAGTGTGGCCTACTGCCAGGGATGCGGTGCGGTTTTAGATGTAAATCATCTATTGATGGAGTGCCCGGCAAGAACACAATTGAGGGAAGAAATGGGTGTCGTTGGTTCAATCCGTGAGGTATTGTTCAACGACAGGAGTACAGAACAAACTGTACTCAATTTCTTGCGGGTGGTTGACTTATACGATATGATATAAGCATACGTAAGTTGAAGTGGCATTGGAAAGAAAAAGACTTGTATAGTCACTCCACTTCATTCGACAAGAAGCAGTCTTTAAGGTCCTAAAGACCATGGTGTGTGAAGGAGGATGACCCAATGGGGGATGATGAAACAGCTGCAGTTGGAAACCCGTCTCGAATGAACTAAATTCTCCTCTACCAGGGGAACAGTTTAAAGAGACGTTAATAAACTTAGCCTCAGCTAACGCTTCTAACGTACCGCAACTATAGGAGCGTTTACCCTAGCGATAGTAATGATCGTACTTTCTGTGTCAAACAATGTCGACAAGAAGTGCAGCTTGTTTTATTGAAAATTCAATAAAACTTTAGAACAAGTGCTAGTAGGATATATAAACCATTCTTATCAAATGACTCGAGCAATCTCCCCAAAACATCTCATCCCTCATTCAACGATTCAAATTCCATCTTATATTTTTATTCAGCTCTTTTTTATTTATTTATTAGATAAGCCTTAATTGAATAAACTTTACAGAGCCGAGGAATCTTGTTCGCTATACAATACATCTTAAAACTATACTCGAAAGGTACAACACAATACACACTTTATCTTTAGCCTTCTCCATCAGAACGGGAGCCGCTTCCAGTGGTTTCATTGTATGGCAGTATCGCCAACGGGAGCCAGAGCGCTTCCACTGCAGCAATGATCGCAAAACTTGTTCATTACTCACACACTCATCACGAAACGGTTGCTTTCCAAAAATGACGATGCATCGACCGAAAGAACTGCTGATGAAGAACAATGAGGTGTGATCATCAGAAATTCAGTGCCAACATTTCAAAGGGGCGTAATTGCATTTGTAAACAACGGCTTTAGTCATCGATTTCTCGCGAGTGAAAGCACACTCATGAAAAATGAATAACACCAGCATGCAGAGGTATGTTTCCTGTATCAGCTAGCATTTGTAATTTGAAGGGGTGGGTTTTCATTTGCGAGAAATCGACGTCTAAAGCCATTGTTTACAAAAGCAATTACGCCCCTTTGAAATGTTGGCACTGAATTATTGAAGAATAAAATTCTGATGCCCGGAGGGAACTCCAAAACAGTTAGGTATCGTTACATGGCACATATTTTAAGCAAGGTTGCAAATACTCATTTCAGCTAAAATAATGTTTTTCGGAATAATAAAACCAAAAGATGGTATGATGGCATGTTTTACTTGTAACTTACAAGAAGAGGTTACAAAGTATGCGTTGGAAACATAAAACCTGTAATTTTTGCTTTCTATGAGTCACAATCAGCGATTTTCTGATCGCTGAGTGAGTGAGTGAGTGAGTGAGTGAGTGAGTGAGTGAGTTTGTGAAAAATCGCTGATTGTGACTCTCATGAAGTGCAATAAACAGGTTTAATATGTCAAACACATTCTTTGCAACCTCTTCTTGTATCCTACCAATTCAAAATTTGATCATGGCATCTAATTATTTCATAATTTAGAAAAACATTGTTTTAGCTGAAATGAGTATTTACAACCTTGATTTTAAGAAATCCAGTAACACATGAAATAATTCTCAGCTTAACTTTTTGTATGAAATCATTCCAGCATAGAAGTAAATGAGTTTTTTTTTCACTCCAAGCTCATTGAGTCCAGCTGCCTTGTTGCAATTAATCGATCGAAGAAGGAAGCCACCGAGAGGGATAGATAACCACTTTACTCTTTTTAACCCCCCTCCCACAACTCTTCATCGTCGGCACTTGAATCCGGATCATGGAACTGCCCGGGGATGTTGCTGCCCGCTATGGACCGGAATCTCCGGAAAAGGCAGCTACCGATCGATACTGCCGGGCTGGTAAATATTTGCACAGGAGGTGTGCAGTGAAGCTCTTTGTTTCGCCGTTGTTGGTCGGTCGGTCGGTCGCCATGCCAAGAGGCCATATTGAATGGGGCAAAAATTCAATAACTTCCACCGTCGGCAACGTGTGTTGATTTTCCAACGAGATGGGCAAACGACGGTGTCTAATGTGTTTGATTTGGCTTCCAGTGATTATTGTCTCCGGATGTTCGATGTGCCTTCAGCTGCTAAGAAGGAAAGGAAAGGAAAGGTAAGAATGATTTTGTTATTATTAAAAACAAATTTCAAGATTTAATTTAGCAGAAAACAATGCTTCTGTTTGCTCACCAGGACCAGGGAAGGAGGGCGGTGTAGGGGTTTGGGTGAACTTAAGTGATCCTTCTAATTGCCGGAAAGGTGTGTTTACTTTAGTGTTTCGTTCGTTGAAACTTTGAGCCGAGAACGTATCGGTTCGTCGAAAAAGGATTATGTTTCACGTGTGGGGAACATGTTTTCGATGAACGTTGGCAAATTTGAAAGTTCGAAAGAAATGGTGTCACGTATCTCCGTCACTCCGTCCGGTTCAAGTGTTTGACCTATAAATCCAGGTTGTATTCAAAATGGTGTGAAGATTTCTTTTTATTTTCGAAATTGAAATCTCCTAGCTGTAAATATCAATCAGAATCCTTCAAATGCTGCTCACATACAAAGTATGTATGTACTCATTGCCAATTCAGTGTTCTTACAGGCGGATGCATTCATCGCGCATTCGCACGTGTGTAGTTCCATCCATCCATCGAAATGCACTTGTTCTTTTGTCTGACTCTGAGCGCGTTTCCATTGGCTGTGGAGCATATCGAGAAATAATAATCAGGAAAAAATCCATTCTCGCGTTGAAGTACGTGTTGCCGTTCGTTCCACAGTCTCCATATCGTACGGTGGAAGCGCACCGCAGTCAGTCAATCATTCTTCGTTCAGGTGAAACGTGAAGAAATCAGACTCACACCCACCCACTTGCGAGGAGAGCACTCTGGAGGTCCCTCAGCTGAACTCATTCGGATGATGGTGATGATGATGATGCTCATGAAAATGGAAGGAAATGTGCTTTCAAGCCATTGCGATGTGATTATGGCGGTGCAATCGACTCGTTGCAGAAATGATGAAGGTGGCGTTGCTCTTTTATGAAGAAGCTCAATTTCCTGGGTGCGCTCGATGGCTCCTCAGCGTGAAATTAAATCTAATTGATGGATTGCAGGGTGTCGAGATGAATGGTTAAATAGTATGATTTTGTTCGAGTAAACTGATTTTTTCTGATTAACATTGTCGAAGTGGCATACATTGCGTAGTTCTTAAAATATTTGTATGACATTTTTTCATGAAGGTGTATTTCGTAGACTGCTTTCAACTGGTTAACAAATTTGAAGGATATTTTTCGACACAGTAGTCAAACAGCACTGCCATTATTAATTAAAGTAAATCACTCTGAATCCCCTTTTTTATTCAGAGCTGACTTCCAAACTGAGAACAAATCAAAAAAATTGTACCCATGCTCTGTCCCAATTGATTACGGCGCATGTTAATCAGTCAGTTCAGCACAGACAACGATTCCTTCTCCACTATCAAAACAAAACAAACCATTTCACAATCCATTCGTGCTGATAAAAACGTTTGCAACTCGCTTGTAATTGCTTCACTTAATTTCAAGTGGTTGGGTTTTGCAGTCACAGTTCCTCGAGCAAACTTCACCATGAGTGTCAATAAGCTGATTGTGCTTCTTTCTGTGGCATATTTTATTGGAGGTAAATATCTCCAAATTAGAGGTTTAGTACATTTTAATTTACATAATTTAAATTGAAATCAGCTGCCCAGGGGTTGCCACAAGAATCAGTGGCAATAATGATGCAATTCCAACAGACATGTATCGATACAAGTGGATTCGATGAGGGATATCGACAGCTCCTGGTATCACTAGAACCGGCAAAATCCTGCTTACTGAATCGTCTGAATGTGCAACAACTCCAGTTAGATATGAAGCTAGTGGTCAGCGGATCAAGGAAGCAATTTTTCGACAAGTTAGCGCCATTGGATTGCGGCAAATTGATCAATGAACAAGTTTTTTGTTTTGCAGGTATTGTCCTCAGCTACACGAATCGTTGAGCTGTTTTGAAGATGCATTTGAAGGTGTGGCCAAGTGCGCTGGTAATGATACTGATCAGGTGATGGTGCTTATAAAGGAGATGAGCCATGGTTTTTTGGATGTGCTGTGTCGAAACGATGGTCAAATGTTCTTTGGTACAGTGCAGAGAAAATATTTAATGATATTTTGGTAAATACTGAATGTTGAAATTTACAGACATTCAAAAGCCGGAAATCGGAGCGTGCATTGGAGAAGTCGTAGAAAATAGTCAAGACTGTGAGGTGTCGAACATAACTAGTAAGACACCTATAACAGGATTCGGTGAGCAGCAGTGTCGGTGAGTCGTGAACCTGTTATTATTTTGGAGAATGGGTTTGCAATAAAACTTTGTTTTTTTTTTCTTTTTCAGAGAGTTTGAAGAATCCCGAGAATGCTTGAAAGGAAAAGTAGAAGACTGCCAAGTTCCAGGTGTATTTGATGTTTTTGACGTAGTATACAGTACGATATCGAAGGCGAACGACTGCAACCAGGTTTGTTTGACATTTTTATTTGATTTAGTGATTTATTTTTACGTTTATTATTTCATTTCCAGTATACTATAGTAAACGAAATCACTAGCAATGAGGTTGATGGTATTTAATCTGAATAGTAGCCATAAGGATTTTCGCATATTTTTTTTTTTCAAATTCAAATAATCATGACATAAATGCTGGATTTATTCACACCCTATTCAAATGTGTCTGGAATATAGTGTGACTTTGACGAGCAATTGAAAATAAAACAGTTATTGGTAAAAAATATGGCTTTCAGAGAGCCACCCAAAGTACAGAAAATTTCAATAAAATTTACTTACCTTACCAATCAGGCTAAGGCCTTGTTGTCCTCTGCTGTCCGAAGAAGTCGTCTCCACTCTACTCGATCCATGGCCACAGTTCACCAGCCTCGTAGTCTGCGAAGGGTCCGCAGGTCACCTTCTACTTGGTCGATCCACCTTGCCCGCTGCGCGCCTCTTCTTCTTGTTCCTGTTGGGTCGCTTTCTAGAACCATTTTCACTGGGTCGTCGTGCGGCATTCTTACGACGTGCCCAGCCCACCGTAGTCGCCCAATTTTTGCAATGTGGACGATGCAACTGAAGAGTGAATTCCAAAATCAAAATAGGAGCAACATTCTACACACACACACCTTCAAAATGAGGGGTGTTCAGGTTTTTAAATGCAAAATTGAAAGAAATACGTCAAGTTGATATTGACCAAATTTTGACCGTATCACCCTTTAGTATGTGCTTCATTTTGATTTGAGATAAGTGTTTGAACTATGGTTCGGGATTTTCACTGTGGCGTGCTTCTATTGTGTAATACTTACTCATACCTATTTTTGTGGTGCGACATAGTGGAAGCGTGTGAGCATAGCTGGAGCATATACCCTATATAATTTAAAAATCAGCTGGGAAACTAACTTCAAGGTGAAGCATTTTTATATGGATATTGCAATATCTTAATATAGCATGAGTTATGATTTATTAGGTGAATTAGAGTTTTCAATTATTTATTTAATTAGACTAATGAGATATCATAATCATCAAACGAACTTAAATGAGAAAATTTAGAAAGTTCAATAACATTAGGAAGATTAACAAAAAAATTAGGATGCGGAGGGTCCGCTTAGGGAGACAGCTAACCTTTAAAGTTGTAGAATAAATCTTCCTATTTAGTCTTGAACTTCAATAAGAACACGCAAGCAAACCAATAGTATTTAGCAAATTAACAAGGAGAGGTTATTAGTTTAGGAAATAAGTAAAAGTAGAGGTAGAGGAAATGTCTCTTATGTTGGCCTATGGATCTAAGATTGGGCCCATCGCTAAAAACCTGATATTTATCAATTTTATCTAGATCAACGCGTTATTGAGATGAATATTTGTGGTTTATTTTGAAAATTTAGTCGATTGCTGATTTATGTAATTGCGCCCTTAGGGACACTTAGGCCAACATTACCTGCATTTCCCCAATGTGACAATTGATAACTTTTAAACTTTTGTAGGTATTGTTTTCCCCTGAATTTATTGTACCCGATAACTATATTATTCTCTCAATACGCGAAATCTCTGATATATACGGTTAAAGCATTTGATTTAACTTATTTCTTAGTGTTCAAGTACTTACTAATCTAATCTAATCAGCCAGTACGAGAAAGTATCCTGGAAAATGATTAGGTTAGGTCTGATCATTTTTCTTGTCTAATTGATGTTTACAGCATATCTGAGATATCAAGACCAACGATTGAAATGGCCTTAACTCCATTTTGCAAACAAACCTTGCTAGGTCATTCTTTCGCGAACCGAAACCTTCATTCGCAAACCTAAACTACGTCGCGTCCGGACCAGATTTTTCTTGCTCCCGTGGATCACGCGTGTTTCTATGTTTCCGGTTACACATTTCCAGCCGCAAGTGAAGTAGTTGAAAAATGTTTCTACGTCGATGACGTATTGACTGGTGCTGATACACTTGACGACGCAAGACAGCTCCAGAAAGATTTGATTGCACTGCTGCATAGAGGAGGATTTCAGCTTCACAAATAGTGTGCGAACGACGAGGCGTTACTGGAAGACATTCCTATATACGCTCAGGAGAAGCAGCTGGACTTCAACGACAGCGAAGCCAACGGAGTAATTAAGACACTTGGAATATTGTGGGATCCCTTTGGAGATGAATTTATGTTTCACGTGAACGCAGTAAGCGATTGCTATGAAATTCCAACGAAGAAAATGGTGCTATCTGAAATGTCAAAACTGTTTGACCCCCTCGGCCTACTAGCACCAACAATACTCATCGCCAAACTTGTCATGCAGCAGCTATGGCAACACAATGTGGGATGAAATGATCCGATTCCGAAAGAACAGCTTCGAACTTGGAACCGATTCAGATCCGAGCTTTGTTGCTTGAATTCCTTGCGGATCAAACGGCGGATAACTGTTGATGACACAATTGCTTTGGAGTTGCACGGGTTTGCTGATGCTTCCAAGGTAGCGTACGGTTGTTGCATTTACATTAGAAGCGTGAAGCGTGATGGGACAGCAGAAATTCAGCTGATTTGCGGCAAGTCGAGGGTCGCCCCGATAAAAGAGATACAACGAGACATCAAGGTGGATGCAACGCCGGACGAGATGACGATCCCGAGGCTTGAGCTATGTGCTGCGTTGCTGCTAGCTGAACAAATGGAAAAAGTGCGTGAAACCTTAGCATTAACAACCACAAAGGTTGTGCTTTGGTCGGATTCGAAAATCGTGTTGAGCTGGTTGAAGCAAATGAAGTCAGGTACTCCCGTGTTCGTTAAAAACCCCGTAATGAAGATTCGAAAGCTGTTTACATCCACCAAGTGGCATTACATCTCGACGCAACATAACCCTGCGGATTTGGTGTCCCGTGGAGTCTTCCCGGCAGATCTAATGCGTTGTGAACAATGGTGGTCTGGTCCTTGTGTGCTTCCTATTGCCGTCGAGGAGGAAGGTGAACTTGAGTTGGTGGAACCGGAAGAGGCTGAGCAGGTGTCTATCCATCAAATTGCAACAGTTACCGTACCGCAGGAACTGATTGCTGGAATTGCACCGGAAAAACAGCGTGACCCGTATCGTAATCCTGAACCACAGCAGTTATCGCAAGTTGCAGCGTATTTTTGCGTACGTTACCCGTTTCATTCATAACTGCAGCTTGAAGGGTAACAAGACTAAACGTAGAACAGGAGAGCTTTGCAATGAAGATTACAACGAGGCACAGAGAGCGATGGTGATCATTGTGCAGCAGGTGGTCTTCAAAGTTGAAATCGGTTGCATTCAGACAAGGCAAGCAGTCAAGGGGAAGCTGCGAAACTTGAATCCGATGTACGACAACGACGAAAGGCTGCTGATAGTTGGCGGTCGCATACGGAACTCTGACTTACCCAAAGATCAGAAGCACCCGATGATTTTGCCTGAAAATAACCACTTTACAGAGATCCTCGTCGAAGCCTTGCATCGAGAGCATCTTCATGTTGGATTAAATGGACTCCTCGCAGTGGTTCGACAAAGGTACTGGCCAGTGAATGCAAAACGAACCATCCATCGGGTTTTGAAGAAATGTGTACGCTGCTTCCGGATGAACCCCAGAGACATACAGCAGTATATGGGAGACCTCCCGAGTTGTCGAGTTACTGCAGCCCAACCTTTTGCAAGAACCGGAATGGACTATGCGGGACCCTTTCTTATTAAGGTCGGACGAATGAGAGCAAAGGTGAAGGTGTACGTATGTCTGTTTGTTTGTATGGCCACCAAATCCATTCACCTCGAACTGGTGAGTTCATTGACAACTGATGGATTCTTGGCGGCGCTCCACCGGTTTGTTGGTCGACGTGGAAATCCAGTGGAATTGTTCTCCGATAACGGAACAAATTTCCGAGGAGCAGATCGAGAGCTTTTGGAGTTATTTAATTTACTGCAGTCGCAGATTTTGAGCGACAAGGTGAACGAGTTCTGCCAGCCGAGAGGAATAAACTGGAATTTTAATCCCCCCAAGGCACCTCATCACGGAGGGATTTGGGAGGCCAACGTGAAATGTATGAAGTCTCATCTGCACAAGACTTTGAACGAGAGTTACCTGACATACGAAGAGCTGAATACTTTGCTGATACAGATAGAGAGCATATTGAATTCAAGACCACTTGTACAGCTGACTGATGATCCGTTCGACTATGAAGCACTGAGCCCTGGACACTTCTTAGTTGGACGAGAATTAATAGCAGTAGCAGAACCGCTTTACGAGGACCTGAAGGAAACGAGTCTGTCGCGATAGCTGGTGCAGAAACGGATGCAGCATTTTTGGCAGAGGTAGTCAAATGAGTACGTGACAGGACTACAGAAGCGTAGCAAATGGTACAAGGATCCCACACAACTGCAGAATGGGCTGCTGGTGGTCTTGAAGGAGGATAACATGCCACCTAAAACATGGAAACTGGGTCGCATCATCGAAACGCATCCAGGAAAGGACGGGATTATACGTGTGGTCACAATCCGCACAAGCAACAACACGTACAAGCGATCGACGACAGATTGCAGTTTTACCAATCGATGACTGCATGGATCAAGTGGAATCCAAGGCGAAGTGAGGCCCTTGCCTCACCGGGGGCAGGATGTTACACTAAAAGAAACGACAAATGTATTGTTTCAGTGTAGACGGTAATTGTTAGGAGTTGTGGAGAGTTTGACCGTCAAGAGCGGAAACAGAGAGGAGACTAGGAAGAGAAAAATGATAAAGGTAAGAGTACTCGCGCGGTGAAGATGTGTTTTCTTTTCAATAAAAATAAAGATTAAATTACAGTCCATTTGCCTTTCTCCAGTGAGTATCCGAAGAACACCCTCCGTTTTTGACCCTTCATACAATGGTAAATTGAATACAACCAGATATCGATCTTGATCATGTCGTACGAGGTGGACAGTTCGCTGTCTAATGGCTGTGCCCTGTATCAATGAATTGTATTCTTTACATATATGCATACATAATGTTGTCCTTTGGATCTAAATATTGGGTCCAAATCTCCTGTTGTTTAATTTATCTTAGAACAATGCGTCATCTTTCAACACAAATTAATATTTTTGGTTGTTAGTAATTTGACAAAAAATCCATTCCTTTGAAATTGGAATGTTGGACCAATATAAGGGTCATTAAGGCTGACGTTAGGGTCAGCAA